ACAGCAAGGCAGCCTGGAAAGAATGGTGGAACTATTCAAATGAACTAGACCTGGAAACAGTTTAGAGGTCTAGAAGTTTAGTTGAGAAGTTGTTAAAAGAACAAATCATGACACAAAGGAATGTGTTATGGACAAAAAGATTAGTGGGTTGCCATGTGGTGGGTGAAAGACAGCTCGGGGGCTAGCGATATGGCTCAGCAGATAAAGGCTCTTGCAGTGTAAATATAGTGACCAGAATTCGATCCCTGGGTCCCACATAAAGGTGGGAGGGAAGTAGCAGCTCTGCCATGTTGTCTTCTGACTCCTACATGTGCACCATGGCACAAACACTCATCTGTGCACAAAAACAATAGAGATCCAAGGTCTGGGCCGTGAACATTCCAATTTCAACAGCTGGGAAGACTGTACTGCCCCACATATAATATCAACCCGGCAGGAAGGAAGACCCCAAGGTTCTCGGACCTTCCCTTCCTTGATCAGATGTCTGCACTGAAAGAAGTGCCAGTGTTCCTCCGGCCCTGCCACAGTTTGGGCTCCAATTCTTCCTCCTTGACACCCTGCTCCTTCAGCTGTAGGTTATACAGCTGGGCTGTTGACTTGTGGAAGTCTACGGGAAGAGTATTTGTCAGAGAGGGTCCCAAAGCTCTCTTCGTCCTCCTCCTCCTCCTCCTCTTCCTCCTCCTCCTGAGGGGCCACAGAGCTGAGTTTATTGGCACCACAGCAGAAGCTGCCCATGTTCTTCTGGCTCCCCTGGCCCAGGGGTAGGTGGGAAAAAGAGCTGCAGAAGGCTGCCAATAGCTGCCAATGCGGCCATGCCAACCTCAGCTGTGCCAGTCCCTCCTTGCCTCCTGTCCATCAGGTAGATCCAAGAAGATTCCAGTGTTAGAGGACAGACAGTGGAGTGGGGCCAGGGAAGTCTCATGAGATCTATCGCTGTCTTTCTTGTGCCCCCACAGCCTGAAATGAAGAAAAATAAGGAAGTCCCATCAGCCTCTTTGTGGAAGCCGGGAAGAAGAGACTGCTAGCTACATACATGTGCCAATCAACTAAAATCTTTAGGCTTAGTTCTTCAGTCACCCTGCTGTGAACTCAAATGCTCACCAGTCACATGAGGCCAGTGGCTGCTATTCTGGGTAGTGAAGATGTAGAGCATTTCTTTCCATTATGGTCAAAAGTTCTTCTGGGCAGGGCTGGTCTCATCTTTCTCAGTCCCAGCCTTAGTCTCAGCAGACCTGCCAGCAGTTCTGGCAAGCCATCAGTTACACATGTGACCTCCCCAGAGGATGGCTCTCTCCCATCGGGGTAGGACACTGCCTATCCTGCTGCAGAAGGACACTGCTCCTCTCTATGCATGTCACATTTCTTCGGTTATGCAACTGATCTAATAGGGGGCATTTTTCATAGGACATGGCCTCCCTGGAGTCCTGGATTCTGCTGATGGCCCTCTTTATCCTGGAAGGCACACTTTTTTACCTGTGTTCCACCAGAACTCTTTTTGTTTGTTTAAGAAACCGACTGACCCACCCCAGACCTATTATGTATCTGTTTTTTTACTAGTGTCTGTGAAATTATGACTTGATATTTTAGTTGTCCCCAGAATAAAAGGTATATTTTAAATTAAAATAATAATAATAAAAGTTCACATATGATAATTGCATTTTCTTGATCTCGTGCACCTGTATGGGTGGCGCCATGGCGTGTATGGAGTTCAGAGGACAATCTCAGTGTTCGTCATCCACCTTGTGTGAGACAAAGTCCCTTTGTCATTTGCTGCTTCCTTTCCAGATAGTCTCTCTTGTCCTCCTTCCTGAGAGTATTGGCATGTCCAGTCCTTGTGCTTCCACTGCCAGCACTCTGCCCCGGAGCCATCTCCCAAGCCTGATTGTGGTTTTCATATGTAGGATGCGGTGTAACCTTTAATAGATGTACGCAGAAGCAACACTCCCTGACAGTCTTGCGATTGAGTCCACACTTGATCAACTGTGCACGCGACGTGCTCTTGTCGCATGGGGTAAATTCGCAAGTCTACGCCCACTGCTTCCACTTGCCTTTGAGCAGAAGTGAGCACCCTTCTCAGAGACTGCACCTCACCATACCTGAAATGGTCCCTCTGCCTTTGAGGGGAAAATCAATCACTCCAAGTGTTAGCTTGTTTTCCTGTTGTGTGACAAAAAAAGCCTGACAGACACAACTTAAGGCGGCAGGAAAGCAGCAAGAGTTTGTTTGACACAGCTTGAGGGTACAGTCCACCGTGGTGGGGAAGCATGGCGGCTGGTATGTGAGGCAGCTGGCCTCGTTCCATCTGAAGTCAGAAAGCAGAGAGAGCTGAAGGCTGGGGTCCCGGCTCCTGGAATAATGCTACACGCATCTGTGGGTCTCACATCCTCAATTAAGTCGTTCTGGCAGTTAGATCATAGATACCCTCCACGAGTGTCTCCTAAATCCAGTCTTGTGTGTGCCCTGCCCCCCTGCCTTAGGGATGGTCTCCGTGATCATCAGTGCTGACTTTGATTCTGTGCTAATTTCAATATAGCTATATCCACATGTAATTAACACTGTCATTCATTTTAAAAAGTCAGAAGTTGTTTTCTGACAAATCACTATGTAATATAAAAGATTATTTTATATTTTGGGGGCTGAGTCAATGGCTCAGTGGTTAAGAGCGTTCACTGCTCTTGCAGAGAACCAAGTTTAGTTCCCAGCACCCACATCCACTGACTCACAACTGTTGGTACCTCCAGGGTATCCAGTGCCCTCTGCTGGCCTCTGGGGGCACTTCACTCCCATTCTCTTACACATGCACAAATAAGAATTATAAATAAATACTTTTTAAAAGATGCCTTCCTCCTCCACACCACTTTCTCTGTTCCCTTTCCAGAAGCACCAATTACTGTCACCTCCTCATGGGCCTATGAGATCATCTTGGCTAATGTAATTGGGATTTTTGGCTTTGGCTTTTTTGTTTCATTTTGGGTTTTCCTTTGTAGTTCGGTTGGTTTTTGAGAGAAGATTTCTCTGTGTAGCCCTGACTGTCCTGGAACTTGATTTGTAGACCAGGCTGGGCTCGAACTCAGAGATCCCCCTGCCTCTGCCTCCTGAGTACTGGGATTAAAGGTGTGTGCCACCACCACCCCACAACTAATGTGATTGTTAACGGTTGTTAAAGGTTGAATAGAAACCTGGTGATGGTGGTGCACATCTTTAATCCCAGCACTCAGGAGGAAAAGGCAGGCAGATCTCTGTGAGTTTCAGGCCAGCCTGGTCTACACAGTGAGTTCTAGGACACCCAGCACCATGTAGAGAGACCCAGTCTCAAAAAAAGTGTGTGTGTTTGTGTGTGTGGGGGAAAGGTTGGAAAACACTTAGAAGTCGAGATCCTACTAACTCTAACATTGAGAGCCACATGGGGAGCCTTGGAAACACATTTGGAAACTGGGTCTGGGAGGTGAATCATTACTTCTCCTGGGGAAAGGGCAAAGTGTGGTCTCGCACTGTGCAGAGGAGAAGCAGTGAGATGTGGTGAGCTGGAGACAAAGACGAGAGCTAAGGAGCACTAGACACTGAGCTAGGCAGTGCCCTGGGAGGACAACCAGGGACATAGCAGGCTAAGTGTGAGGTTGCCATGGCAGCGAAGACATTATGTGCCCTTTTCCATGCCATCCCCCCCCCCCTTACACTTGAAGGACAGTGCACATGACAGACTGTACTTGGTTTGCTTCCATCTTCTGGTGTATCTTAGAGGTTTCCTTGTGACCATTCTCTAGGAGCTAGTCCCAAGTCGACCATCCCTGCTCCTTCACCCCATGGTCTCAAACTCACAGACATCTGCCTGCTGCCTGCCTCTGCCTCCTGAGTGCTGGGATTAAAGGCATGCGCCACCATCACCCACCTGGTGAATGTCTTTTAAAATAAAATTGCAAAGGCTTTGTGGGAAGATGCAGGGTTCAGCTGAGGCATTGCTGGCAATGATAGTAGATTGTGCCCTCAATGCAGAGAAATCAGGGATCTCCATCTGAAACCTCCCTTGCCTAAGAGCAGGTCCAGAGAAGGCTCTGAAATGCAATGTGGAATATGTTAAAAACTGAATAATCTTACGCCCTTGGGCCCTTAGGATAAAACCTATCTAACTGCAGCAGACACAAAGCCCACAGAGGTAAGTCTGGCCAAGAACTCAGACCAGAGGCTGGCAGATGAGGGGTTAAAAAGGTTCCTCAGCAATGGGATGCCTGTAAGGTTATGGGCTGTTGGTAATCATTGTGAAGCTCTGCATTCTAATTTCTGCCTTTCTACTTAGCATCTATATGGTTTGAATCAAGACCATTCAACAGGTCCTGGTTCACCTGCCTGCAAAACAGGGCTGTTATTGCTAGCACTCACCCTATAACAATGTACACAGGACATACTCAGTCATTGAGTCAGTGCCTGGCAGTTTCTCTATCCTATAAAGGAAGCAAGGTGGCTGCTGAGATGGCTCAGTCCATTAAGGGGCTTGCAGCATCATCCAAGCTTGATGATCTGACTTTGATCACTGAGACCCACTGCAAGTTGTCCTCTGGCTGTCACATGTGAACCCTGGAACGTGCACATATACACAGAGACACACACACACATACATATACACATATGTATACATATATACACATATATGCACAATAAACAAATGAATTTGTAAAAAGGTTTTGTTTTGGTTTGTTTGTTTGTTTGTTTTTGTTTTTTTGAAACAGGGTTTTTCTGTGTAACAGCCAGAGAACTCTCTGTAGATCACACTTGCTTCGAGCTCCCCTAACCTCTGTCTCCCGAGTGCAGTGTGAGCACCACCACCCGGAAAAAAAAAAAAGTTTTTCTCAAGCAAAAATCCCTACTCTTTCTCAGCCGTCATCCTACGGGTTTTGGGCACCAGCGCCCCCTGCCGGCCTCATCGGGCATCGTCATCCCCAGGACCAGGAGGAGAAAATGTGCCTGCATAGAATGTGCTCAAGTCCTCCTCTCTTGCGGGCGTGAATTCCCTGGAGAAGCTCCAGTGAGGCCACTCCCACTTCCGGGCGGAACCTGGCAGGGGCCACCTGACTCGCTAAAGATGGCGGCGCCCAGGGAGGTGGCGTGAAAGTTGTGGAAAGTCGGAGTGGTGGCGTGCGTGAATCAGAAGCATGGAAGACTTAGGAGCCATGTCGCGACTGATCACGAAGAACCTCCCTAATGGGGTGAGCAGGAGCTAAAGGAGGAGTCCGGAAGTGAAAGCGGGGTTCCGGAAAATGAGGCTGAAGGATGGAGTGATTCTTAAGTCTGAGGCAGGACTGGGGAAGTTCGAACCCAATAGGACGGGGACCCCTTCTGACCACCCTAAAAGGCGGGAAGAGTGGCTGTTGTCATTATAATTACCACCATTGATTGCCACTTTATGGGTGCCTGACTCCAAAACGGATAATCCTGGTCCAGGCAGATGCCAACCCCTCACCTTCTGCCTCGGATCCGGTCACCTCTGTAGTTGTTGACCCCATGTATCCACGCAGTTCTCTCCCCCACTCCCGAGGCTGTTGGGGGAAATAGGAGGGGAGGTGACTCTCAGAACCTGAGTAATGGGAGCGGCTTTCAGTGGTTTCTCCTTAAGTGGAGACGGGGCAACCCAGCCGTGATCACAGACCCTGGCATCCAGTAGGCAGGCATTAGGTAACTGCATGCCGTGCCGGGTAAAGGAGGAAACCAGCGCGTGTATGTGGTGATAGAGGACCAGATGGACACTCAGAGGACCCCTTCTTGTGGTGGTGGTTAATTTTGGTCAACTTAATACAAATCGGAGTCACTTAGAAAGAGGGAACTTCAACTGATGAATTGCTTCCATATGATTGCTCAGTGGACAAGTGATGGGTGATTGCCGTGGGAGGGCCTAGCCCACTGTGGGTGGTGTCACCGCTCGGCTGCGTAAACATACTAGCTGAGCAAGTATGTCTGCAGAGTTCCTCCATGGTCTCTGCTTCAGTTCCTGCCTTGGCTTCCCTGAATGATCCACTGTAACTGGGACCTGTAACCCAAATAAGCCATTGTCCTCCCTAAGTTGCTTTGGTCTCTCTGTATGACAGCAGCAGGAAGCTGACCAGAACACTTACTGTTCCACTATCACAGAGCAAGCTCAGCTACAGACTTGTTTCAAAGCCAGTTCAGCTCCTGGAGCTGAAGGAGGCATACACGTGCCTGGGTGTTGCCGCAGCTGTTGAAGCCAGCTCTTTTTCCCATACAGGTGGAATTCTGCAAGTCCTTTGGAGACCCAACGAAACCCTGAGCCTGGAGCAAACATGCCCAGAAGTGCAACCAGCCCAAACAGTCACCACTAGACTCCATTCTCTCAGACACTATAAAAGTATGTAGGCGATGTCCCCAGCCCTGTGCCCAGTGTTGGCAGGGTGGTCTCTGGCTGGGAGGCAGTTGAAAGTATCTTTTGGATGGTTTTGGAAGGTGGGTATGCAATTCGTCTTCCCTCCTCCAGCATTGCTGTGACCCTGTCTGCCTTCCGCTTTCAGATTGACAAAAAGAACAAGGTGCCCAGTGACCTGGAGCAGGTGAGTGTTCTGTGGGTGGAAAGAGGGGGGGCTGCAAACATTGAGAGGGTGGAGGGCTGGAGAGCCTCTGCCTCTACCCCTGGCTGACTGCCACAGCTGAAGGAAGATACTGAAAGACCCCCGATTTGGGGAGACTCTCACTCGAGCCTCGGGATGACACGAATCCCCCCAGTAACTCACGAGAGACCGTCCTTGCTGCAATCACACGATGTTTAATGACAAGACGACAAGACGACAAGACGGGGACCAGTGCACTGGGGCCGAGACTCATAACCCACGCAGGGGAAGAGTTCGACCTCGAGTGACCGGGAGAAGTAGTTTTATAGGAAGAAACCACGCAGCACAGTAATCCGAAAGGGGGGCAGGGAGGGTGTCACAGAAAACTGAAAATTCCAGAGATGATTACAGGGGGGCAACTCCCTGCCTCTCAAGATCATTCTCAAGGTCGTAATCAGCTAGTTCCTATACCAATGATAATTACTAGGGGGTGATAATTACTAGGGGGAATCTCTCTGTTTCTCAAGATTACTCTCAAGATTACAATCTACCTTTATCTTCAGCTAGTTCCTGAAACCCTGAAATTGGTTAATCCTAGATTTCTGATTCTTCTCTTCCTGCTAGATTTTTGGCTCTATTTTCCTGCTAGGGGGATCTGGATTTATCCAGGTCTTTCAATACCAAGTTCCAGGAGTTCCTGTCACTTCACCAGAAGAGGGCCCAGGTGGGCAAACCATGCTTTGTCTTTTATTGTCTCATTTTAAATGACATCTTACAAAACTTCTCTTTATACATATTTTTCTTGCTCTATGTCAGCCAGGTTCTTCAATTCCTCTCACTGATTTGCTGTTTCATACTCCAAATTCTTTTATTTATCTTATTTTAGGTGTGGGAGGTTACTTCTATGATGCCCCATGTGCTGGTCATAGTCAAAAATGCCTTTTAGATATAGAGAAGTAGATTAGTTGGGAACCCCACTACACCCAAGGCTGTGCTGATAACCAGAACCCAGCCACATCATTCACTCAAGATAACCAGACACAACTACGTGTGCAGAGAACTCCGTGGTGCCCATTTGACACAGTACTTATGCTCTGCACATCTTCAGGACTGCTGCAGGCATTGGAGAGACACCACCTTAATGTGCCCTGGGGTTGGAGAGTCTCTTGGGTATCCTAGCCTTACAACCAGGGACTACCCTATCTTAGGCTAAGACACACCACACAGCATAGCAGCCTTGGGGAGATATGCTTAGGACTAAAGTTAGGAACTTAGAGTGTAAAAAACCTGTGTGGTTACCCTCAGCAAAATAAATATAATTTTCGTTATCCAGGTATGGTGGCATACATCTTTGTAATCCCAGCACTCATGCAGGCGGATCTCTGTGAGGGAGGCCAGCCTGGTCTACAAAGTCAGTTGCAGGACAGTCAGAGCTGTTACGCAGAGATATCCTGTCCTTAAAACAACAATCCAATAAGCAAAATACATGGGCCTCCACCGCAGGCTGCCTAGCGCTTTCGTGAGAACCAGAGTCATGTGTTGGAGGCTCTTTATGTTTTCACTGCCCTAAACAAGCTTGTTTGACCCGTCTGTACCTTCACCTGTGCTTGATCACATAGGTGGGAGGTACGTGAGGGGTGGGGAGAGAATGGGTGTTGGGGGACAGGGAAACATGTAGGCAGGAAATACATCAGGGTATGTGCTTGCTCCTGATTGGACCTTGTGGGGTTGCCTTTTTAAGCCTCTGCAATGACTTGTGGTCATTTTTCTGGGAACTCAGAAATGGATCTTGCTAGAGCCCATCCAATTGGCCCATACTTAATTAAAGCTTGCTTCAAATTTGGCTTTACAGTATGGTGGTGGCTTATTCTTGACCAGTGGGATTAACACGGTATACGTTCATTGATCTTGTGAGGAATTAGAGTTTATATTTAGTAGGGACTGTAAAAATCGAAATAATTATGAAAGCCAAGGTTACATTTTAAGTTTTAATTGCTATGCCTAGGAGATTCAAGAAACAAAAATTGCCTCTAGTCTGCAAGCCCCTTGCTCAAGGACAGAGAGTTCCTGAAATGCTGGAGGCGATTGTTTATGGGGTTAACAAGGAGGTTTTCACTTCTCTACAAATTTGTTTCACCCTTCTCCTCCTGATGTGCTTGATCACCTGTGGGGAGAGGTTCGGAGGCAGGAAAAAGGTCAGGATTTGAACCCTGGTTGGACTTGATGGGAAATTCGCTGGCCTACTCTTGGATGCACCCCAATAAAAATCAAGCTTGCTTCAAATTTGGCACAAATCGTGGTAGTAGTCTTATTATCTACGGTGGGATTAACACAATCACTCTTATTGTATAGACACACAATCAAGGTTTAAATAAGGTGAAAGATTTTAAAGAGGGCCTGCAGCCAAGAAGAGTACCAATGTTACGAAATTAGTATGGTTATAACAATGATACAAATTAACTCTACAACAATGTTTTACAGTTAGTATCTTCTTCCCAGTGTGTATCACTTCACACACTCAGAGGGTAATAAAAGAAAAACCGCTCTTTAATAATCGCGCACATCCTCCTCTGACTCCTGCTCAAAGAGGAGCTGGTCCTGAGTAGAAGATTCTACTAACAAGCATGCCTTAGGCTATGCATTCTACGCAAGCTGTAGTTGTTTTTTTTTTAACTCTTGTTCTTTGGGGGCCCACCACCGAGATGCAAAAAAGTACACAGAAAATACACGGAGACTTATTTTTTCTTATGAAAGCCTGGCCTTAGCTTGGCTTATTTTTAGCCATCTTTTCTTAATTTAAATTATCCCATCTACTTTTTGCCTCTGACTTGGAGCCTGTCCTGGAACTAGCTCTTGTAGACCAGGCTGGCCTCGAACTCACAGAGATCCGCCTACCTCTGCCTCCCGAGTGCTGGGATTAAAGGCATGCGCCACCACTGCCCAGTGCTTTTACCTTTTTCTTTGCTTCTTACTTTGTGGCTGACTGTGTGGCTGGTGGTTGGCCCCTCGTCCTATTCCTTTCTCCTTTCCTCCTCCTCCCCTCGTCCTGTTTATCCTCTCTGCCCACCAGCCCTGCTTATTCCTCTCCTGCCTCGCTATTGGCCATTCAGCTCTTTATTAGCCTGATCAGGTGTTTAGGCAGGCAAAGTAACACAGCTTCACAGAGTTAGACAAATACAACATAAAAGAATGTAATACAACCGGGTGGCGGGGGTGCATGCCTTTAGTCCCAGCACTGGGAAGGCAGAGACAGGTGGTTCTCTGTGAGTTCAAGGCAAGCCTGGTCTACAAAGAGAGTTCCAGGACAGCCAGGACTATGACATGGAGAAACTCTGTCTTGAAAAACAAAAACAAACAAAAAAGTACACTACACCCATGTTTTTTTTTCAAATAGTTGTCACTCAGGTTCACCTTGCCCACCTGGCAGAATTACACTTTTCCTATGAAGAGACAGCCAATGGCAGGTCAGGCCTTATGAATGGTTGTGGCCCTGCTCTGCCCCCTTTGGTAAGGGGATAGACCTAATGGCTGGTTGTAAGTGAGGGTTGTCTCCTTTTGTTACAGAGTTGGAGTCTAACTGGAGGTCAGCTCAGCGAATAAACCTTCTTAGAGACCCTGAGCTGCAATTATGGCACAGTTTTTTCCTTACGGCTTGCAGCAAGCCTGGTTGTACACTGCTTTTCAGTAGTACTGGAGGCAGCACTCCCTTAGCTAAATTCTGCTTTGTATAACTTAACATTTCTTATGCAAGTTTATTGTCAAATCCTTTCTAGCATCAATCTCATTACTTCAAATTTTTCCTGCATCACCAAGATCTCTAATTTCTAAGACAATTTCCTTTCCTTTTTTTGTGGAGGAGTGTGGTAGTGGGGGGTGGGTATTTTTATTTATTTATTTATTTTATTTTGGTTTTTCGAGACAGAATTTCTCTGTGTAGCCTTGGCTGTCCTGGAACTCACCATGCTGGCCCCGAACTCACAGATCCGCCTGCCTTCGGAGTGCTGGGATTAAAAGCATGCATCACCACTGCCCGGCTCATTTTATTTTTTAAGACTGATATACCTTAGTCCAATTTCATGTTTTGTTTTGTTGTTCCAAAATCACCGAACAGCAGGTGTTTTATCCCTTTGCTCCGTATATTCTTAATTTCATTCATTCATTCATTCATTCATTCATTCATTTTAGGTTCCCTTAAAAAGACACGGAAGGGGCTCTACAAGAGAATGTAAGAGCTGTTTAGCAAGGCCATTTCATTCCTTTGTTTCTCCCTCCCTCCCAGCGGCTCTTCCCCGCAGCTTCGTCCTCCAGCTCCTCCTCGCCCTAAAGACTCCCTGTCACCGCCTCCTTTTGGGCTCGGCTGCCCCAATCAAAGATGGCGCCGGCGCTTCAGCTCTAGCGGAAATGAGCTCACACGACACCGGAAAGGAAGGCGGGGAGAGCTAGCAGGCGGGTGGGTGACCGGCTGTGGGTGGGGCGGCGGCCGGGGCCCTGGCTTTTACGTTTGGGGCTGGGGCGGCTCCTGGGACCGGTCGGCTCCGGTGAAGTCCGCCGAGCGTCACTACCAGGGGTGTCGGAGGAGGCCTCCGCGAACCTCTCGCCTCCGACCCCCGCTGAAGCGGCCTCGGAGCCGGCGACGTCTGCCCGACCCTCGGCGGGCTGCGCGCGACCGCCCCGGCTCAGTCTGGGGCTGCGGCGGGAACCGCCGAACTGGCTGGACGGGTCCTTTTTTCTGAGGACCAGGCGGAGGAGAAGAGGCTGCGCGACCGGCCCGCCTCCCGAGCCCTGAGGTCAGGCCGCGGGCTCCGGGGCTCCTCGGCCGTGGTCCCCCGTCCTTGCCCCCGCGTTCCCGGCCGGAGGACCCGCGACCTCGCCCGCGCCGCCCGGCTGCTCCTCCGAGTGTGGCAACGAGCCCTCTGGCGGGGTGATCTGTCCTTGTTCTTGCTCGGGAGAGGCAGCTATCGGAAGGGGACCTGTGCTCTTTAAAAGTTTGAACCAAAGTGGAAATGCGTGTCCTCGTTTTCTGGACCGCTGACGGTTTCCACTCTAACCGCGGTCTGAGATCACATTCAGAGTAAAAAAAGCAAGAGAGAAAGGAGGAAAGTACCTACAAGAGCCCTCTGCAGGAGATTCCTCTCGCCCGACAAGGGCAGATGAACTTTGGAGTTAAGATGCAGGGAGGTGAGCCGGCATCGATCCTGAAAGTCTCCGAGAGTGAAGGAAAGCTGGAGGGTCTGGCCACGGCGGTGACCCCGAACAAGAACAGCAGCAACAGCAGCTGTGGGGGTGCCATCAGCAGTAGCAGCAGCAACAGCAGCCGCGGTGGCAGTACGAAAGGCTGGCAGTACAGGTATGGTCCTTCAAAGTGATGTTCTGGGGTGGAAGTGAGTGTTTTGGGTTTGCATGTTGCAGTTGGAAGGCCACTTCCGAAGCAGCTGATCGTTCCTGGAGCTAGAACCCCTGCTTCCTGTATTCATTCAGAAATACATTCAACAGGTATCTGTTGAGGCGTTTTGAGGAATTCGGAAATGTACCCCAGAATTTCCTCTACTGCTCAAAGGTTTATTCGTCTTCTGATTTCTTTCTGTCCTCACTTCTGTTTTTGCCTCTGTTGTAATTTGTTTACGAGTAAGCCTGGGTGGCTGTTAGAGCAGAAACTGTTGAACTCAGCAGCTAGCAAGCGCTGCGTGCTCTAAGTTGTGGAAGAAGGGAGGAAGAAGAGTGCCCTTCCCTTTGGGTGCTTGTGACTTAGAAACGGGGAGGGACGTAAATACTTAGGGTTCAAAGGCGAAGAGACAGTATGAACAATTATTATAAATAAAAAATTTAAGGAACAAGAGTTCTTGGAGAAACAACAAAAGCTTCGTGTGTGTGTGTGTGTGTGTGTGTGTGTGTGTGTGTGTGTTTTAATATACGTGAAGTGTAGAGAGAGATTATTGTCCATAATTCTAAGAATGAACAAAATCCGGGCATCCTGTGATGTTGGAACTACAGTGATGAATACTTAAATTTTGGTTAACTGCCTGGGAATTTAACTACAAGGGTTTTTTTTTGTTTTTTGACCGTTTTAAGCTTTGACTGCACTTGTGAAACGTGTGTGAAACTTAGAAGGGGTTAGAACCAACATATTGTGAATACTATTACGTGAAGTGTGCCTGTATTACAATATGCAAACATGTACTGGGTGTGGCGGCATTAGAATATCTGTGAGTTCCAGGATGGATAGCAAGGACTACATAGAGAGTCTGTATGAACCCCTCCCACCACCAAAATCAAACTAAACCGCCTAATATGCAAATATATGTGTATGTGAAATATGCATGGCTTGACTTTGCAGAAGTAAGAAGAGTAGGTAACTTTTTAATTGGCAAATGGGTATTGAACTAAAGGCAGCATTATTCCCTCCCCTTTTGTGATTTTCTTCATTTTATTTTTTTATGTGTACGAGTGTTTACCTACATGTATGTATGTTTGTAGGTGTGTGCTTTGGTTGTCGAGGCCAAAAGAGGGAGTTATAGACAGTTGTGAGCTGACACATGGGTGTGGGACACCAAACCCAGATCGTCTAGAAGAGCAGTCAGTGACCTTAACTACTGAGCCATCTCTCCAGCCCTTTCCCTTTAGAGTTAAGATGAGCCCTTAGAAAATTCTTTTTGTGGGGGATATTTTGATATCACTAAAGGAAGTGAGGGAAAGTTCAAGATACCCAGAGTCCAGTCTTCTGATAGTCTTAATTCTGAAAACCACTCTGAACTAAAGTGGAAAATCAAATAGAATAGAGTAAATACTCAGTGCTCAACTTGTGGTCTCCTTTTCCTGGCTTCTTCCCCCAGGCTCAGAGTCTGAAGATGTAGAACAATAATAACAATGACAGAAAGCGGCCTCTCCTTTGCTCTAGGAAGCAGTTTATGCTTCCTGCCTCTATTTACTAAGTAGCCTATGCCGTTTGCTCTGTCCTTACCAAGTGGGTATTTTCACATCTTCATCCACTGAGCTCCCTGGAAGTAGACGTGCCTTTAGAATACTTTGACACTTCTCTCTGAGCCTCAGCTGCACCCTCGTCCCATTTTCTTGACTTACTGACAGTACTTTCTCTGGTTTATCCTACATGCCATTGGTTGGTTTTTCTTTGCCCTCTTCCAAGCTGGTCTTATGCTCTTGTGCTGTGGACTCTTTATCTCTTTCTCCTTTCTGACCTCAGCTAATGGAGTCTGAGTCAGGAAACCTTTCAGGAACTCTGGAGCCACGTACACTACTGCTGATCTGAGCATTACAAATCTCATCGG